ATGTTGAATTAGCTAATTAGTGGTTTCTGAATGGTCTGTGATGAATTTGAACAAAACAAACAATATTAATTAGGCTCGTAACACTTCCGCGGATGAAATGACCCAATTTTTACTATTAGTTACTATCAAGTATCAACGTAACCCGAATTGGATGTAGAGCGTTTATTTGGGGTTTAAACTTTTAAATTGACGCTTATGTGCGGTTAAAAGCCGTTGTTGTAATAAAGCTGTTTGTAGGTGCGGTTGGGCTACTCGTGTTGATCTTCGAATTATCGTTGAAATGAGGCCGTTGCTCTGTATGCGTTTACAATATCACGCCCACCTATTTTCGGCCCCGCTATATATAATTTAATACGTATTTCTCGATATTGCGTCAAGATCCATTGGTCCAGGCACCGGTTCGGATGTTGGAAGTGTAAAAACAAGTCACGGTGTTGTATAAACACAAGTTTGGTACGCCAAACAAAATACGAGTGAATGTGACATTGGTGAAGTATCCAAAACAACCGAAGATATACTAAAGGACAAATATCTCAAAAATACTTGATACCGAGCATTGATCGGGATTAACCTTACAATAAAAGAGTTGTTTTGCAATTTTGGTTTTATTTATTATTCAATGAATATTAATCCAATATCTTTATTATATTCAATTATTACAGTGCCAAATTGTATGACCTACATTATTTAACGCCTTTGTTATGTATATTTAGCGCCTGAAATACAGACTTTTAAACTCATTTGCAATAAAAACACTTCAATGTAACTTTGACGCTGTTGAAAACTGAATAAATACATAATTTATTCACACATACTTACTGATAGAGTATTTATGTATTCTAGGACCAAGTAACAGTCGAGATGACCTCTGCCCCGCAGTACTAGTTACTAACTTTGCCTATAAAGTTACTGCAAAGGAACATGAAGGAAGGAACTGTTTTTGCGTACAATTCGCAAACCTTGGTCCAAATCAAACAAATTGCTGCACGTTACAATAATTAAAACCTAATGCGATACCTAGTTCAAATATGCGGGCATACCACATCAAGTCCGAATAACGGTTTTAGGTAAACCCTATTAAAAAGTAATATTAAAACCGTTATTCTCTAATATTTTCATAACCGCAAATGTACAATTACAAGTCATGCAACAATCACAACGTCGGTTTCTCCGCGTTTCACCCGTCAATGATTTTATCACATGTGATACAATGCGAGTGCACAATACGTAGTTATTTTATATTTCGCTTCTTAACCTATTGACATAGTTTCCTGCGTTTCGTGTCATAGTTAACCTGATATACTTTGTTCATTGCGCGCAGGTAATATTATATCAGTATAAGCTGTAGATGAAGCACATGATGTCGTGCCCTGAGTGCCCGAGCAACTGCACGCAGGAGGATTTAATGAACGCTGCTGACAACGCCACTCTTGAACTCTGTTTGGGCTGACACTGTGTAGGTTTGTTTTCTACACGATAAGAAGAAGGAGAAGTAGGTATATGCTGTGTTGCAGATGCCTAGATGCAGCTTCGGTGGCACTGGTCGTTTATCTTGTTATGCAACGAACACAATCGCGTGTCACGTCAATGATAAACGTTCTAGTATTCTATGATTATTACGATATTATTATTATGATTGAGGAAACAGCCAGTAAAAGTGTGCCAAGAAAATATTTCATTATTCTTGTGATAGAGCGATCTGTTATCAAAGTTTTTAGATCTAGTAATTCATCTTCATGTTATAAACGAAAAGTTCAAATAACTGTTGTAAACAACCTACATAGGTGCCTAATCTCCGAAATGAAAATGCAATGGCTAAAAATAACACCATACACTTGTATTTACAAAAAAGAAAATCATTCGCCAAGTTTATAGAGTCATGCGTGTGCAGCGCATTCGCAAACAATGGAATAATACGTTTAGAAAAGGGTATTTGATACCACCAATTGACATACTTTTATAAGCTATCTCTATCTTGTATGTTATCACTAGTTTGCGAATAACTGAATAAGTATTTGAAGATTTTTCAAGAAAAAAGCAGACTGAAAACTAAGATGTATGTTATGTCACTATAGTCCTTTTCACCCATTGAAGTAATATTAGTACGTAGTACATTATAACTCAATGTTTTCACCTAAGATGATTCGTATGACGTTTCGAGTTTGAAAGTTATAGAGATGTCACATAACTAAACCATAGCGATTTATCTATCGATTTTTTTCTAAGAGTTAGTAAAACCTACTTTTAGAGAAATATTTTGTATAGGTGATAATTAACAAAAAAACATGTTTTTTTAATTACAAATATTATTTTAACAATTTTTATTGATAACACTAGTTTACAAAAAAAAAGTTTTTCTTTTACCCAAAGATAATTCATATTGGATGTGTTTTCTATCAGCCCCCTTATTACAAAAATATACGTCTCATATTTTTATCACGTCAAGTTTTTGAGATATCCACATTAACCTAAGTAAGCTGTCTTGTTAGCCGTGACGGAGTTTCTACTTTATTTTAATTGCGTTTAAGTATTATTTTAACATTTTCACTTGTTTTAAAATGTCACCAAGGCAGTGTAAATTAAGCCCAAATAACTTTTGCTAAGTTTGTGGCCAAATTATATTGTCAAAAAAGAAGAGACCAGTCACTAAGGCCGTAAAACCGGCCTATTTCTATTACTTTCTAATCTCGGTAACAAACCTGATAAAAAATGGGTTCCTGGTGTAGTGTGCGAAAATTTGAGGAGTATATTATTGCACTAGGCTGCAGGAAAAAGAAAACATATACGAATTGGCACCCCAAGGTTATGGAGAGAACCAACAAATCACACAAATGTCTGTTACTTCTGCCTCACTGAAACTACAGGTTTTAACAACAAAAACCAAGAACATACAATATCTTGATGTTGCATCAGTCACAAGCACAAGACCTGTGCTACAATCTGAAGGAGTTATTACCCAGCAATTCCAGTAAGGGAAAGATGCTTGATATTAATTTAAAGCAGTAGTGAAAAGTTTCCTGGGAAACTATAAATTTATCTGAGAATTATGCAAAAATTGTTTCCAAATTATTGAGGAATTACCAAAGAATGGGTGTGAATAAGTCGTTAAAAATTCATTTTTTACATTGTCACCTGGATTTTTTTCCTGAGAACCTGGGAAGCGTGAGTGTTGAGCATGGCGAAAGTTTTCACCAGGATTTGAAGGTTTTTGAGGAAAGATACCAAGGAATTTGGGATAAAAATATGTTAGCGGATTGCTGTTGGTCTATAATAAGGGAAACTGATACTAATTAATATAAAAGAAGGAGTAATACGACTAATTTTTGGTTGTTTTTAGAAATAAATGTATAAAAATGATAAAAATTAAAATAACCAATATTTACAAAATTTGACGTCCTAAATTTTTTCTAAGTTCAGTTTTTAAGTAAGGGTTAATAACTCTAACGATACATATCAGTTTCATCTCTGGGTAAAAAACCTTGTAAACTAGTGTAATATTCAAAATCCATGGACTTCGTGTTCAAAAAAACGATTCCTAATAAGTACTGGTTCTGTTTCTTTAAATTAAAAACTATTAATTTATTTTCAATGCGTTTATTAAAGTTAACAATCTAAAAATATAGTTGATTTTTGTGATGTTTTTAATAACTAAGTATTAACTGCAATCGATTAATGAACCGCGGAAATAATCGATTTTGTTATACAACAAATACCCCAGCACTAAATCTATTCCGTTTCACACATTGCGTACATTAAATAAAAAATATTTTTACATCGTATTTAATTAAAATATAATCAATAAACTCAGATTTTACTATATTATTTCAAGACAAGTAGTTATTTTTTTTTTTATTATATTGCTAATAAAATACAAATATTTTTTCAGAAATATTCTGCATATGTAGTATGCGTAATATGGATAACCTTGAAGTGTCATACGGATCATCTTACGTGAAAAAGACTATAGTATGCGAATAACTTTTTTTTTAATTTATTGTCTCATAAAAGTTACATCGATTTTACTTAATACTTATCTGCCAAACTGCTTAACAGTTTGTCGGCAATCGTTCTCGTACTAACTGAATAACTATTTGAAGATTTTTAAAGAAAAAATCAGACTGAAAACAGATGATTTTCAGGGCTGGTAGGCAATGAAGCAGGAGGCTCGGATCCAAGTACAGTCAACTTACAACATAAAGGTGAATATTTATGAACCAATGTTTATCATAGATCTGTGATTAAACATTCCTTATCATAGTTCCAGCCAGAGTTTATCATTCACAAACAACCATATAACCTCTTTTTAAAAATAGTCCGGATTAAATTAAAGTGTGACGTCATATCCCGGTTGCAGCTTCATGGGCAGATGAATCAATATAAGCTCTCCAGAGCTATTTCAGTCCGTAAACTGTTATTCGAGGTAGCCAATATTAAATAGGGAGATTGATTGATTTCAGATACTGCGTGGGCAATACACAAGGTCCATTCCATATTGTAGGCACAGTCCACCAGACTAAATTTACGTTGGAAAATCGCCTCTTTTACTCCTGAATAAGATGTCAGTGTTTTTAGCTTGATATACAGTCTTCTGTAGATAGGTACAGTGCAGTCAGGAGCAGGACCTAAGTACATTTATACAATATCTCAGCAACAATATTGTACAAGATAATTAGTGAAAACGCAAGATGTAGTTTGTAAATAATGACCTTTTATCTCTTCAATTAGTACAAGATAAAATTAATTTCACGTTGTTTAGTGCTCGTTAGGTAACCACTCAAAGCAACTACGCCCAACTTAACGGCGTATTACTAAACTCGAGGAAAGCTGATAGCATCCGGCACAAAGACTATTAATAACTCCATAACAAGGGTAATATTGTACAGTCAACAGCACATCAGGTATTTTTGTTGCAAAATAACTTCTATTACAACTGCAAATATGCCAGTGTTTGGTGCTGTCGCCTGTACAATATCTTGGGTTAAGTAAGTATGTTTGCTTACCTTATCAAAGGTAATGACAGGCGCAGCAGATCCAATAGTGCCGTCCTTTTTCTTCTCTATCTTGTAGACCACGATGTGGTTCTCCCGGACGGTGTGCACGATGAACGCCTTGGAGTCAGGACTCCAAGCCACGTGCGACGCGTGATCGAAGTTGATATTCACTCGCAGGGTCTTATGCTCCTTCTGGTTCAAGTCCCGGACGTCCCAGAGGATCACTGAACCATCTAAACAACATAACCTCATTAGTTATGCAGAATTTCTCATGCATCTACATTTTGCTGTTTACACCACTCGACCGACACTGCTCTCCGCTTTCACCTTCAAAAAGGCCATTCAAGGATTTCAAAACATAACCTAAGTTTCTAAAATGTTTTACATTTACATCACTATTGTGCTATGAAACAATGCAAAAATATTTCTTTTGGAAATCTTAACTGATGCGTTTTTAACATTCCTACCACCGAATATCTATGAAATCTTAATAACTAATTAAGACTGTAGGTTTTTTAGCTTTACCTGTTGATAATCTTTGAAAATTACCACAGCATTATCGCCAGACAGCTTCACAGAAAGTCTGCATTCGTGAATACAATATGGCAATTTGTCTATTGTCCACTGATGGAAGGTCCTACATTTAAAAAGCAATTATATTTTACGAGTTCCTGCTACTTTTAAGTCCCACGTGCTTTTGGGCGACACGTTCTCTCATTGCCAGATAGTGTTTTGTTTCTGTGGCAAATATAAGCGGGAACCGATCAATATTTTCATAATAAATTGGCTTCAAAACAAACTTCGGGCAATCTCTTTGGCGCAGGCGCAGGCCTTGCGAAGCCGGAGCTCCTTCGCACTTTGTTGAAACTATTTTTTTTTAAACTATCACTGAGGTGACTTTATTTTAAAATTATATTTCAGAATCGAAGGTATAATTGCCTTATTAATTTTAAGTTACCGATTCGCGATCCTCGTCTTTTGACTTTTGGACGTGGCTTTAATAATTTAAACATTATGTTATTGAAATTAAGAAAAATGTAGAGTTCTTAAGAATTAAATAAGGTACATATTATAGTTTCTCCAAGTCCGTTCGGACATGTAACTTACAGAAGTGGAAGGTAGTTGGGTACGACCTACGATTCGTCATGACCTACATACATCCAATTTTGTTAGTCACATGACAATTTTTGTTTAGTATGGGTATTTTTTTATTTGTAGGTAATCCATCTGAATTAGTAATGTTTAAAAACCATCTGCACCATCTTCCTCTAAAAAAACAAGTTGCGAAGCTGGAAAATTGGTTTTACTTAATACCTCGGCCTTCAACGATCATCACTTTCCATCAGATGAGGTGCCAATTGATGACATTTCCGTTGTGCTTAAAAAAACTAAACATCGATTGTCTTTTATTTTTGTAATTTGTATAAAAGCATACTGCACATAACGTTAATGAGTAATTCAAAAGAGAGTCTGACTCAATTCATTCAACAGTAAAATGTATGGTACGGTAAGATAACTAACTTGTGACTCATGTCGAGTAACTAATTGCTTTTACTAGGTACTGCGTATTTTGTTACAATCTAAGCAAACGTAGTAAATAACAATGCTTACCGGTAAAAGGTCAACGGACCAGTTGGTATCGAAACTGAGTCACTGTATCAAGGCCTGCGATTTCAGGCAGCGCTCCTGCGCCCGCGCCATTTAGCGGTAACCGTCCGATTTCACGGCTCTGAGTTCCGTTTCGACTGGTCATTTTGTGATTTATGACCGCTGAAAACCAGGCTCAAGTATCGTTTTAAGCAGCCTTATACAAATTAGTTAATTTAAGCAATTTTCCACGAACTCTTTATAGTGTTGTTACTACTGCGAATCATTGCCTACCCATGTCAATCAAACGTTTTAGTGAAAGTCACACGGTCAGTCACACTATTCATAATTAGGTATATACTTAGTTGACAATACATTTTCACAAAGGTTGAATTAAACTGCCTTCAACAATGTAGGTAGTAATACATTTTTTCAAGGGAAAGGTCATCATAATATATTGTAAATTGATTTAGTTAGACCCTGAGCTAAACAATGAATCATACTATTCGTCCAATTTATACATATAATATCCGTTGGAGTGGCGTTCATTTATGCAGAACTGAATTATTTTTAATATTTTTATATTAATTCAACAATCAAATATTTCAGCCTATCTACCAACTAAGTACGTTTACGCTCGATATAATATGTTAATATACGAAATATATTTCGATAACAATATAGCTCAACAAATCCCCACTTCAAAAGTGGAATGTCGTTCAACTCTCCCCTATGCGACCCCTAACGTGTTGTGAAGGATTCTCAATACAAAGTAACACGCATACCAACAGCGATCCACTTATTAACAAATGGGTCTTCATCTTGAGATTTTAATTTGATGCCATTATCAGTGGCTCCATTTCAGAGGTCAAAACGCAAGTAAAAGTAGCACAAACATTTTGTTTGATGAACCAAACATACTAAAGGGTGATGATTTGCTTAGCAAAACACACTTGAGATCAATCATCACATGATTCGGTCCGGTCGTGGTCGTGTGGAGCCGTCAAAAACAAGGTCTCAAGATCCACGGTCAAACCGGAGATCATATTAATAATACGACCCCAAATATGGACGGTAAGAAAGAACGAGACAACAGATATTCTTGGAATAGGTCTTCGTTTTGTGTCTTCGTTCACCTCTGTTGTACGGTACCCTATGATTTTATTACCTGCGTAAGAAATTTCTTTTGCCCCCAGATAAATCAACATACGCATGCATAATTTGTATTCCTTGGAAAAATTGACGATTTTTTATAGTTGTTCTAGAAATAAATGGAAATGATAAGCTGAAACATTTCCAATAATTTTAATATGTTGCCTTTGTGATATTAAAAACCCTCGATATTCAAAAGTTTATTGAGTTTGAGAGCTGCCAGCTTACATTAATATATTTTTTAATATTCGTAAAAATATGTAGAGTTCGCAATTTCAGCAACATGCGGTTTTTCCCCGTAATGTATGATTTTCCAAATTAAGAAAACCATTTTTATTTATTTTTTTTATTAATAAATTTTTAATAATTACACGACAGTAACTAGTGTTTCAATTAATACCACTTTTACAAATATTGAATCGGCTAGTAGAAATACAACAGAGCGTAATTAGTTAAAGGAGATAAAAACGCACAATACTCAACAAAACTAACGAATACACACATTTTTTTATTTTGTTATTTGCAGCAGATCGATTTTTTTTTGTATATTGCTAATTTGCTACTATCGAAAGTTAACAATTTGTGAAAGAGGATGATTGAAGAAAATACCTATTCAATTTTCCACGCGATGAGAAGAGAAAATCTAGAAAAATCATACTCGGCATCACAAAGTTTAATACTCTGCTTGTAGATTAGTTTCCTGGTCGTTTTTGTTTATATTAAATCGCATCATCATTTCAGTCAAAGGACGTCCACTGCTGAACATAGGCCTCCGGTAATGATTTCAATGTTGATCGATTGGTAGCGGCCTGCGTCCAGCGCCTTCCTGCTACCTTTATGATGTCGTCGGTCCACCTTGTGGCTGTTAATAGTCACACCACCATTAACTCGCCATACATCTACTGTATTGTATTTAAGTATTCTGATATTGTACTTGGAGACGTGTAGACGTAGAGCTTCGAAATTGAATCTATTACCATTATCTCTCTAAAAATCTAATTGTACTCGTACATTGCCGATCAAGATAAGAAGAGACAAGCTAGACAAGTTATAGGTTAAATAAAATGAGGACATTCTACCCGTAGTCGAGAATTAATGTTAAAGATTTGATTTTAATTATGAATAATTTTACAAGCATCATGAATTTCATAGGTAAGTAACGAAGAAAATTACACAACGTTTTTGTATTCAAAAAACTGTTACGTATCTAATTGTATTTGTCTCTAGAGACCTATTTAACCACACCGGAACGGAGACGGTATACCTACAAGTCTGCGGGGATGATCTGTTACTTCATTCAATGTAATACCATATAAAGAACTTTAATACCAACCATACAACTAGTATATATTTAGTAACTCTTGTATGTACCAGCGCGCAATCAATCACTTAAAACCCTTTTGTTCTCGTTCATGATCTAACTCTGGCGCGTCCGTGTCGCTACGGGGGAATTGATTACACAACACTAACCTCACCTAACAATGTCTGAACTTCTGACCTAATACGTAGACAAATGGAATTTACCCACTATAATATTACTTTATTGTGATGTATAAGTTTGGTAACCAATATTATTTATCTTTAGAAGTGACGTGTTTTTTGGTAAGATGACCGAGGTGCGCGCGTTCAAGTCTTTTCGTTCAACGGCCTCTTCAAGGGAACTAGGAAGTGGTTGCGCGAGCGCAGATAAAAAAATATACGAATCCACAATAGCCACAGCCCGGCTTCGGCTCACCTACACCATTTATATTTATTTATAATCACGATTGTCGATTCATACATACTTAATGAGAGGCGATTCTTATCCAACCCGTAATAAGGCAAAAAACTCGTCTCTGCTGGTGATCATACGAAATTCAAGGTCCAACAGCATTGTCGATTAACTTGAGGCCATCATCTGACTTAATCTCTCCGTAGGCAGTTTGTAGGTGTTAGGTAGTTTATTTTGACAGCTGGCACCTACCGCCTGAGGCGCCTGATAAATATGACACGGTGATGTATTGTTTACTATTCCGCAGTCTGTTCTATTAACTGAATCTTTTGTATGAGTCACTGGGACCGAGTTCATTGACTCGTTACATTGCAAATCAAATGGCTGGAATCTTGACAATATGCGTTTGGCTGCATGTGGAATATAAACTACGAGATTTTACAGAAACAAAATGCAGATATCTTCGGTAAAGGTTTGGGCAATGCTAGCTATGACTATTTGTATTTGACAAGAATATTTTGACGACACGCATAAACAAATAACGTGTTACGGTGTGGTCTCTAAAGTGGGGGCCGTAGTGGGCGTGTCGAATTTAAGGTTGTCACTTAATGCGGGTCAGAATAATTTTGTGGAGGCAGTACAAAAACAGTTACAAGAAAAAAGTTTTTACAATAAAATCCTCTAGGAATTGGGATCATTCTAATAAATCGACAGAATTCGATTTCAATCGATAACAAAGCTGATAAATATTTAATTTAAGCTGTAAATTATCTATCCAAAATTATTCAGTCTGATGACTCTACATTTGTATAAAATTTTGCATTTACGAAAAAATAAATTTTAAAGTTGCGTAAACCCTATTGTAAGTGAGCACCATGACGAAACACTACCACACTTTGTGCAAGTATTATTGTGAAAGACGTATCGACGCGACGGAGGCGCAACTGGCCGAAGCATGGAGGCCAAGATGATTTCAAATACTCGTGATGTTCAATATTATGAAGGGCCGTCACGTCAAATTAAATAATATTTGTAAACTGCGATTGACCTTACCAATATACGTTTATTTTCCATGTTTGAGTGCAGTAACCTGGGCCTGAACGTCGAACTTTGAACGCACCTTGAGAAGAGGCCTTTGCACGACAGAGGTGTCGAACCCCGACGATGACGAAAGTCATTGTAATACTCTACCCATTTATCATCAAAGGCCTAAGTGAGCAAATTTCCCTGTGAGAAGCGTTTTGGCTCGGATTCAAGAGGAAGTGTCTGTCAGAAACTAATTCATGGTTACATAGTGCACACTAACCAGTAAGACAAGATTTCCAATTACCTAATCCTTTATTTTTGCAACCGTGTGACAACATTAATCTATCAGTTACGACACGCCCATATTTCTTGTTAACTATAAACAAGCGATAAGGTTTCGAGTGACGTCACGATTAACACGTCGTTATCATTCTATCATCATCTGATCATTCAGTTATCAATATTAATCAGCTGTTTCGTGAAAATACTTACTATTGGAGCAACAAAACTAATGTTTCCTGCGGCCACCGGTGACGCTGTCTGTCGCGTCGTGTTTTCCGACTTCGTAAATGATAAACTATTTCGAATAACTTTTTAGTGCGAACAAATCATAATAAATGTAATACAAAATAATTAGGATCATTAGTGATACAATTCCTACGATTATTTACTGTTATCAACTGCTACATCTATGAGGAAGACCGTATTGTAAATGATTATGACGATAACACGTCCCTTTTAGATTATACATTGACCTTAGTGTGTTAATTATTTGTGGATTAGATTGTTAACCCATTCTTATAAGATACACTATACAAGAATGCATGGTAAATTCAGTGAACTGCTCCTGAATCGAATGTACCTACTACTCTCAGCACTTGCCAAATGTTGGTCTCGAAGCGCTGGTAGGGTAAAAAGATTATGAGACATATAGAGGCTCCTTAAGAGCAAAATGACGATTTGTAAGAACTATTTATTAGTCTAAACTAATAAAGAAATTTTGACTTTGACTTTGACTTTGAATGAGTACACAGCTTATTTTGCGGCACTAACGTAAACACCGAGTGTTATGACCGGACACGGGGGCAATACTCCTACCCATATGTATCAATAATGTTTATAGGCCAATTTCGCTATTTTGCACTGACCTGTATTGAGTTGGTCATAGAAAAAGCGAGAGAATATAATTAGTGCCCTTGTGCGATGTTATTGATATAAATTTGATTCATCCTAGGAAAAATCCTTGACCAAAAAATATTTGCAATAAATTCGTCATTCGCATTAGCTGAATTTACGTCAAAACGTTTAGCAAACGAGTCTATTAGGCCATTTCTCAGAGCCTACCGAAGTGGAAGTGGAAATCATTGAGTTAGCTCATCCACCAGGCATTTCGTCATAGGTTTATGTAATGACATTACATAAACCGGTAGGAGTGCACGGTCGTATGATAACTATCATATTAATTGAAGAAGAGCGGCCTACAAACAATTGAATAAGAGGAAATTGAATATGAAAATGGTGCCGTTCCAATAATATATTAATAACATGATATAGGACGTGTTACGTGGATATGCATTATGTGTTGTCTACCAAGAAAACCAGAAGTATTTTGGCTGAGTCAGTCACGAGAAAAAATAAATAACCGACGGCATGCGCTTAGTCATAGCACGGACGAATCAAAACAATACAGATTAATGATATTCTGTGCTGTGAATATCGAATTCTTGCTTTTCTCTATTTGATATAAGGGGCATTTCACGCGAAGCGGACAGCGAAAATCAAGTCAGGTTTTGGATTTTGTTCATATTTGGATTAAATGTACTGCTATATGACCTGAATGGATGTGCATCATTATAATTTTTTTATGAAGCTTAGTTTATTTTTTATGAGCGTTCAAAAAATTGGTAAAATTTTAGGAACAGATTTTTCAGAAGCTATTACTGCTATTATTACATTTGATTAAAAATAAACTAACTATTGGACTTTTGAGAATAAATAACTGTGTTTCTTACTATTTACTACAAATTTGAAATTTCTTTTTTGTTCACATTGAAAACCGGAAGTAAAGTTTTAAAATCAAATTTTACAAAACTTCGGTATTTTTAAAAAATTTAATTTTAATTTTAAATTATACCTAGTAGTCTATAAATAACGTGTGTAAAGTTGTAGAATGGAGTCTGTATTGGTTTTTGATTTAGACGCAGTACAGTGCGAGCGCGCCGCAGTGAGCGTCATACTGGCTATCGACATTTGGCTACTGTATAAAAATTATTTGTTCGAAAATAACTGAAACGTTAATATTGTTGCATGCATACTCTTAAACAATTATAATTTTGACTCGGCGAACTTCGTACCGTCTAACAGACAATGATTGTTGGCATTGAGATGGTGCGTATTACGTCGCGGACTACCCACATCTTATTGAATAATACACTAAAAACATTATTCTTCTTTTTTAGGTAGTTGGTTAGCTACCTCCATATCAAATTTCATCAAAATCTGTCCAGCCGTTCTTGACTTATAAATCGAGTAACTAACACGACTTTGTTTTATGTATAAAACAAAGAACGGCTGAACAGATTTTAATGAAATTTGGCATGGAGATAGCTGGCACCCTGGATTAACATATCCCGACTACCCAAAAAGAAGGGTAATGTTTTAAGAGTATTATCCAATAAGTTGTGGGTGGTCTGCGACGTAATACCATCTCAATGCCAACAATCATTGTCTGTTAGACGGTACGAAGTTCGCCGAGTCAAAATTATAATTGTTTAAGAGTATGCATGCAACAATATTAACGTTTCAGTTATTTTCGAACAAATAATTTTTATACAGTAGCCAAATGTCGATAGCCAGTATGACGCTCACTGCGGCGCGCTCGCACTGTACTGCGTCTAAATCAAAAACCAATACAGACTCCATTCTACAACTTTACACACGTTATTTATAGACTACTAGGTATAATTTAAAATAAAAATTAAAAATTTTAAAAATACCGAAGTTTTGTAAAATTTGATTTTAAAACTTTACTTCCGGTTTTCAATGTGAACAAAAAAGAAATTTCAAATTTGTAGTAAATAGTAAGAAACACAGTTATTTATTCTCAAAAGTCCAATAGTTAGTTTATTTTTAATCAAATGTAATAATAGCAGTAATAGCTTCTGAAAAATCTGTTCCTAAAATTTTACCAATTTTTTGAACGCTCATAAAAAATAAACTAAGCTTCATAAAAAAATTATAATGATGCACATCCATTCAGGTCATATAGCAGTACATTTAATCCAAATATGAACAAAATCCAATACCTGACTTGATTTTCGCTGTCCGCTTCGCGTGAAATGCCCCATAAGTATTATTTACTTGACAATCAATTTGTTTGTTCTGATTAATCTTATTATCATCGCTAGATTAGCTTATAAGTTATTAATTATAATTCAAGTGTTATGATGTGTTATTTTTCAGTACAGTGTCTGTCGTATTGAGATACTGTTATCTGTGTACTTTACATCTAAAAGTGTCTTTGTAGTCATAATTTTATGAATGTTGCATTGTGGTTTTCAAAGTATACGCTGTTTCGACATTTTCGTCGAATTCAGCTTATGATAAATGTTCTACGTGATAATACTGGCAATCACAGTTACGTAGAAGAGAAACCCATGTAGTGAAAGTGTTTATAAGTTTCATTCAGAGACAAATAGGCACCAGTTTTGAATTAAAGACAATATTAAAGAAAAATAAGTCATCATTTAATTCATTAATATTCATTCGATACGAATAAATCTTTTTTTATTATGGCATCAATCATAGATTCAAATGTGAAATTCATGCAATGAAACAATTCATACAATTATTCATCTAACATCTAACTTAAAACTATCTTACAAACTAGATTTCACTTACAATTAAACACGGTGGGAAATAGGATAAATAAGTTGACAAGATTGTTTAAAAAAATATCACGTTTATTGCCATGTCGCAATTCAGAGGCACATACTGTTTGTACGCGCACTCCGTCAACGTAATGATATTATGTCATTAGCATAGTCCGTTCACGCGAATTAAACAATCAACATTATGTATGTAATCATAGTTCATGTCCATTGAACAGTCGTCATTACTTATTTATCACTCGTTAGTTAGGCGGCACTGACCAGGGGGTCGTAGGGCTGCAGCACGGGCAGCTGGTGGTGGGCGGCGCGCGGGCGGGAGCGCTCGTTCTGGACCTTTAGCAGGACCAGGTCTAGAGCCGCGCGCGCGTCTTCCAGTGGCGAGTGGCCGCTGCTCCCGCGCTGCACCGAGCGACCCAGAAGCTCCTCGGTAAGCGTGCGCAAGGAGCGACGCAGCGGGAACCCTCTAGCATGAGGATATAACGCACAAGTATCCACCACTGCGCCGTGAAGCAACTTCAACGCTCGCAAGTCATTGTCCAGTGCGTGTCCAATCAAAATCGTGTCAGTGCCCACGAAGCCCAATATGTCATTCTGCACATCTCGTAGCGTCTTAGTCGCGCGCGCCAAGTCGCGCGGCCTGATGCCCGAGAAACGAGTGTTAAGATCCACAACAGGCGAGCTCGGTTTCACTAGAGATCTGTATACAAGTCGGCCATCGGCTGCTATGACCGCGATACTAGCCAGCTCCAGTCCGGCGGTGGTGTAACACATCTCGGCGTCGATCGCGTACACTCCGCCGCGAGGCGAGCGGGCACGCACATATCCTTCGAGGGGGCCGTTCATGCCCGGCTTGGTGCCGTTCCATACGTGACACCGGCCGACAACACAACCCGTGGAGCCGTAAGGTCCATTGCAGCACACATATCGGCTTTCACTCACGCGACCCCAATGGTAGACGCAGGGGTCCTCGAACACATATTCGCCGTCGGAAGTTATTTTAAAATTTTTATCACAACGCACACACAAATGTTCTGCACATGCAATATGATCCACTTCTTCGTCACTGTCCGAACGCGGAGTTGAACCCCACGAACCCCTACCACTGTCACTTTGCGATCCACCAGGCACAAACACGGGAGCGTTTACATCCCAAGAAGTAAACTGAGGTCTAGGTCGAGGCGGCGGATTGATATACACCACAGCTTTGGTAGAGTTCGGCTCGAGTTCAAGCGGATAGCCGAGGGCCCACATGCGCTTCGGCGAGAGGATATGCGGGCGGAGTGCTTCTGCTAGTTCTTCAGGAGAGATCCTCGGCGGCGTCGACGGCGGCGGCGACGAGGCCGAGGGGCGGCGTCGATCGCGCGGCTTGCGCCGCCGTGCTGCGGAGCTGGCAGAGTCCACCGTCGTGACCGTTGAATCTTGGTAAAACCAATCGTGCATTTGAATACAGAAATGCATTTTTCTTGATCAGCTTGTATACACATAGAGTCGAGAGAGCGAGCGCGGAGCTGGAGTCAGCGGATACGTGTAATCGCGCGCGCGGGCGCTGTACTAATGGCGCGCTGGTGGGGCAGCCCACGCTTTATACGTCACGTAGGTAGCGCGCGTTCGTTAACGGGACATGCCAATCGACCGGCCTATTCTCATTTTTCTAAACAATAATAAACCTTCTTTGTTTACTAAATAAAGGGGGTCGACCCTTTTTTACATTCGGTCCCAGAAAGTGAGCAAAGTGCTGAAGTAAATAGAGAATTAGTCGCTATTACCGGGAAAGTAATAGCGACTCGCGTTTTGTTTACACGGATCAGCTGATGTCCGCGCCGCCGCCTGTAGAGCGGCAGTACGTTCAATACTCGACTATAAATAAACAGGACTTCACTGGTTTTATATCCCTACTAATGACATTTTTCACTTAGCTATGATTTAGCGTGGTCATTAGTTTATTACAGTGATTATTGCTAAAATTGTAATTACCATTGTATCATGTCTGATGTATATTTTAGCCTGAATAATTTAGAGTGCATGATTAGTTGATGACCGTTTCAGTTTTCAATATTATTTTAGATGCGTGGTATTTTCCTCATGGGTGTTGAATTGGGCAAAATTTCAGGCTGCGCAATATGAATGAAACGGGTTTGTGTGACGTAGGTTATTTATATTCGTAGACTGAACGAGGCGGGGTGGCCGGGCCCGGGGCGAGGCGGAAGGACGGCCGTTGCCCCGACTCAAGCTTACTGCCAAAATCGTCTGACATTAACGAATTCTACAAGTTCACGAGAGTTCTTAGAATTCAATCTCAGACATTGAACTTGAGACGAGGATAAATCGATTAGGGAACATCACGAAGGATTTTATTAGGAAGTTTAGACTTTATGAAAACAACACGCAATATTATAACGCCTAAATCTACTTATATTACTCGCTCAAATATTAAATGTAGCATATTAAAGTTACTTTACTCAGAAGTCTTTTCTTTGACATGGTATTTTTCCAGTGTTATTTTCTCTCAAAAAACAATAATGCTACTTTACATAAAAGCTAAAACTTTTTCTAAGGATAGAACATTTTACCGTGGTATTTCCCCTTCAGTATCTTTTAAATCTTTCACAGAAATGGGACTGACTACCTCAACTATTTTCGGTAAAAACGAATCTTGTAAAAGATCTTTTTCATTCTTTGACTACAAAAGGCAACTGTATTCGATGTGAGGTAAAATTAACACGTTTTGGTATACGTGAAACGACACGTCATGTGCTGGCTGCGATTGACGTGACCTACAATTTCCACGGATGGCAAAAGCTCCAATATTACCTCTGAATGGTTCCCAGGCAACCGACTACAGCTCTAAGTGCTATAACATACAACCTTTGTCAGCCATCGCAACATTCTGTTACACAAACTACGATTTTGCTCAAATAGTATCAGAGAGAAAATAGGTAATGCAATGAGGCTAGGGTGATAACCTAATCAGGCAAAATATTGACTATCTCCCTTTGTATTATTAGAGCAAATGCAATCTAGTTTGCATGTAATTTAATGGGCAATTTTGCTATTTTTGCTTTTGAAAATAACCTTCAAAATACATACTATTTTAAGTTTAGAGCACCAAATCGCATTGGATGGCGTGTCAATTAATAAAACTAACGATAATTTTATTCCGCGCTGGAAAAACGTTGTAGGTCAATGGCCCAAACTCCCTGAAGTATGTAAACAAAACTATCTACGCCGAGCGCGGATATGAATGGGCATTGACAGATATACCTAATAAACGATGTTTATTGTAACTAAACCAAAGACATAAGCAAAGAGCACACCAAAAACAAACCATTATGAAAAATAATTGGATTTGGCGTAGGCGAAGACAACTCCTAACACTTTATCACGAGTGTTTATTTACAACGTTATCAGTATTTATAAAAATCAGACCTAAATATTTTCGTTCGGATCAATAATCTGAAATAAACTTCACTATCGAACGCATGTACGCATGAAGGATACGCTTGTGATCATCACACGTCCATACTCCACGCGTCTGTGCAGCACGCGAGCGATCTTGTTTTGTTTCTTACTGCGCGGTTATAGGTGTCAGATTTGTTCTGATTGCGTGGTGTACGAGAATCGGTCCAAGCGTGAAACGTATCGTGGCAGCCGCGTATGTGTTTGTATACAGAGGCGCGTGTGGGCGCGCCTGGTCGCTGACACCGGCGCCGATAACCTTCGAATCGATGTCAAATGCGCATCGTCTCGTCAAACGGTATCGTAAAACTTAGATGGCCTGACACGAGAAGCTTAAGATCGCGACATAAAAAAGAATTCTACACAAGTAAGTATAAAATATAAGAGACAACAATGATAAAGCCCCACGCAAAATACCACGCATAAAACGTCTGAAAAACTAGCAAAAGTCACCTCGATATTACCCACGCATAAAAAAGTACTAGACAACCTTTGAGAAATCTTGGAAGATACTACAAAAGGAAGATTACAGAGAAAGAAATAAAGTAATTTATGATGAAATAACACAAGCGATGATGCCAGGCAAAATGCCACGCAGGGTTGAAAATAAAAAGTTGTTATGAAGTGTCTGAATTATTTAACATAATAGTGTTTACCATATTCTATAAAAGATAATACATATTAAACTGACTTCGTATTGTAATATTGCGCAAAGAGAAACAGTCAGAGCAAATAATGTAGCGCGTCTCAAATCAAAAGTCGAGGAGAGAAAGTGTCAAAACAAAATACCATGTCAGTGCTTAGCTGAGGGATGATCATAGTAAACTTGAGTACCAATTCTGTTAAGAAACGAAACTAGCTCATAACAATAATTAAATAATTCTTATAAATTGTTATTCTTATGTTGTTATGTTATGCATGTCATAATCGTGAGAAGATACAAATCTTATTGTTTTAATAAAATTTTATAGTTTCTTTCACTAAGAAAGTTTTCTCTACATTAGTACAAATTGACATCGATCACTTACGACTTGAAATATTAAAATACCAAGAGAAAAATGTAGGTATCCACTGGTAAAATTTAAAATATTCGCATCGATGACTGTACATTTATCTTTTACAATATTTTTTCATGTTTACAACTGAAGGTTGAGTCGAGACCTTGCAAAGCACTGAGCATGTTTTATTTCAAGGAGTTTAAAAAGACGATTTTGCAAAATATGGTTATCTTAACATCCGTCGCCTGCATCTTTACTTGTTTTACTTATTTTGCTCTATTTGGTTTTCCTGTAGAGTTTTAATAATTTTCTCAGTTTCTCCAGTAAGTGAAGGATTGTGACGTTCATCAGGTGTTGTTAATGCAAATTCTCTTTGTTTCGACGACGCCTCGGAAGGCGCCCGGCACAATAATTGCGTGCAAGACCTGTTTTGCCTATAAAAGTATACGCCCACCTGTGATGTGCCCGTTCGCAATCGCGGTCAGTGTGCCAGGGCAGCGAGGAGTACTACCGGAACTTAAATTCGTTTTCAGTTACCTAATTTGAACCGGTATGCATTCGAGACCTTGGCAAAGAACTGCGACCGATGTTGATGATCGAATTGATCGATATCGAATGTTTTGACAGCTGGCATGTTTCAATTGCTTTATGTAACAATTAACAGCTGAAGATGTTTATGACTTATATTTTCTAATAGAACTAGATAATAAGCATGATTGAAGTTAATACAAAGTTAATGTTTTAATTGAAATTAATTAGCAGTAGTTTATGGAGTTGTAATTGATAGTAATATACTGGACTTGTCGTGCAGATAATCGTTGCGTATTCTAGTGCTGATTAGGGACAAGTTCAGGTTTATATCAAAAACATGACAAAGTGTGTCAACGTTTGTTTTTGAGTTTTAATTAATGATCGAATTTCTAGAGTCTGGTGTTGGAATGCGTTTGGTGTAGAGAAAAGTGTAGTCAAAGCTTCGTATGCTGATATTTCGGTGAAAGTTGTTCTCGGACGATGCAGTGACCACTGTCACGACTACGGTCTGGTGGAAGGGTGGATCTAGGTCAAGGAGCTCGCCTCGTCAATGTGACTAAGCCTCCTCCAATGAATAACCTCATATTATTGTCAAATAAGCAGGCATAAATAATCATTTCATAACATTCAGCTGTATTGTCCTCACAAATATGTTTATTCGAATCGAATGATTTACGCATTTCGTTGGAATGGTCACGGACACTTCTCATGTTGACAAGATAGTGTTAGCAAAATGTAACATGTATGTTGTTCTTGTATTTTGCATAAAACGTAACAACAATAGAAATATACTTTAAATAAATCTACATGCAGGAGGAAGCAATTCATTGGAATCACAAGGACTAGTACAGTCGCGGAATGAAAAGGTTCGTCAGTTTTCAAATTGATTCCTTCAACGAATCGCGAGCACATATTACCTTTTGAAACTATGTTACAGAATAATCTCGAGTTAGAGAAAATAATCTTTAACTGTTCGTCAGTAAAGTTCAAAATTTTTTTTTCGATTTATCTTGTCAAGAAGATTATTATGATTGATAAACTAAAACCTTCTTGTTGGTTCAAACTGCCATTATTATTTCTTTTAAATAAAAAAAAACTATTGTCAATTGGTCAATGTCATCATTGCATTGCACTGATGGGATAGAAAAATAAACAAGCAAAACCTTATTCGTTAGCAAACGTCATATTTGTTTAAATGTTAGCAGCACTGTTTCTTGCACTGTTATGATGTTGGCAGGTTTGACTCTCACAGTACCTAGTGCAAGCGAAAACCGACACTAAGGTGACCAACCTTTTCATTCCGCGACTGTACATTAACTTTGACCCTAATAATGAATAAGTTTTTATTTTTAACATTTAAATCAGAATTTATTTACTTCGAACTTAACTGACATTACTAATCTATTACAAAATCAGGTAATTAGGTAAGGTTAGGTTTGCGGAACACAGTTCCAAATGTGAAATTGAAAATGAAATCAATTACAAAGTATCTAAGCCTAACGAGCAGGTGAATAATTGTTTATTACCTCGCACAACTAGTTTAAATGTTGCCAATCATTCGCAACGGTGATAAAAGCATGTATGAAATCGAATAGATCTTGTCATATTCGCACTTTTTCTCGTATTCCGATTCTTAGGAAAAAACGCTTACGCAAAAGTGCTTAGTCTTGCAAAATGTTCTAAGTTCTGGGAAAACCTAACAGTCTGACTTCGACAAGAACTGAACTGCATTCTTTTTGATTCCGATTAATAAACTAACTGCTAGATCTTTGCCTTATAGGTTAAGAGATGTTGACAAAATGTCGCTAATAGGTATAACGGTGTAACTCCGAGACAAAACTAGTCTAACAAACCGGAAAAATAACGTTTTCGGGGCACGTCCA